TAGCCTTGGCAACTGATGACTAGACCCTAGGGAGATTACTGACGCCATAAACAAGAGTGTCAAACTGTTAAGTCAACAACAGGAGACACTGTGTACTTACTTCTCATGTGGGATCTGTCCTTAGTGTGTTATCCAATGTGAAGTAATGCTATAACTAGTACTGAAACAGTATTTTACACTCTGTGTTTCTGTGTGGGTGCAAACTGATGAAATCTTTACTTCATATATACTGAATTGATCTTCGGTATATAAAGATAATTGAAAATGAATCTTGATGTGAATGGAATGGGAGAGGGAATGGGAGATGGGAGGGGTGTGAGTGGGAGGGAAATTATGGGGGGGGAGCCACTGTAATCCATTAACTGTACTTTGAAAATTTATATTTACTAAATAAAAAATAAAAAAAAGTGATGAGCAATGGACATTTAAATCAGAATCAGCCCTTAAGGCATGCAGATCCGGCTGAAAAGCCCATGAGAGTATTTCAGGCATGGAAAGCCAAGACACTCTGGGGAAAAAAAAAAAAAAAAAAAAAACACCTAAATGGAAGATCTCCGCGAGTGAGATCCCAGTGGAAAGAATGGGTCATCAAAGAAGGAGGTACCTTTCTCTGAAGGGAGGAGAGAACTTCCACTTTGACTATGACCTTGTCTAAATAAGATCAGAGTTGGAGAACTCAAAAGGCTTCCATAGCCTAGGCAGCTCATGACAAAAGCCTAGGGTGATTACTGATGCCATAAACAAGAGTGTCAATTTGTTAAGTCAACAACAGCAGTCATTGTGCACTTACTCCTCATGTAGGATCTTTGTCCTTAGTGTGCTGTACATTGAGATTTAATGCTATAACTAGTACTCAGTATTTTTCACTTTATGTTTCTGTGCAGGAGCAAACTGTTGAAATCTTTACTTAATGTATGCTAAACTGATCTTCTGTATATAAAGAGAATCGAAAATGAATCTTGATGTGAATGGAAAGGGAGAGGGAGTGGGAAAGGGGAGGGTTGCGGGTTGGAGGGACGTTATGGGAGGGAAGCCATTGTAATCCATAAGCTACTTTGGAAATTTATATTCATTAAATAAAAGTTAAAAAAAATTTAAAACACATGTAAAATAACACCAAAACCACAAAATACTTAGATATACATTTAACATACAGAATTGTGGCACTTCTGGAGTGAAAACTTCAATATATTTCTGAAAGACATTAAATAATGCTTAAATAAACAAAAATATATATCATGCTTATCAAGCAGAAGATTCAATACTATTAAGATGCCAATTCTTCTCAAATTGATAATCGAAATGATATAAATCAATTAAGATAATATCAGGAATTTTTGTAGAAACTGATAATAGTGAATTAAAATTTATTTGGAAAGGCAAATTCAAGTGGCAGGTAAAAATTGTAGGGACAATTGTTGTGGCATAGTGGGTTAAGCCATTACCTGCAACACTAGCATCCCTTATGGACACCGGTTCAGCTCCTGACTGCTCCACTTCTGATCCAGCTTCCTATTAATGAGCCTGGGAAAGTAGCAGCTGGCCTAGCCCCAGCTGTTGCAGCCATTTGAGGCGTGAACAAATGAATGCAAAACCTCTCTCTCTCTCTCTCTCTCTGTCTCTGTGTGTGTGTGTGTGTGTGTGTGTCTGCTCTCACTGTAAGTTTGCCTTTAAAATAAATAAATAAAATAAATCTTTAAACAAAAAAAAATAGATGAAAATTGTGGTTGTGGTGCATGATGCAGACTAAGAGTGATCTCTTTCAAAGTGGAAAGCAGCAGTGAGATAGGAATGCCAGCACAGGACGAATCTCAGTGAGGTAGGACGTCCTCTAAGAAAGCAGAAATCTAGAGCAGCATGTATGGTGTGTGTGGGAAAAGGTCAGGAGCAAATTGGTCTGGAAATTTCCCATCAAGTTCATTACCCAGTCCTGGGTCTTTTGATCCATACTTGGCAGACCGCTGGTAAGAGAATTTTGTAAGTAAAATCTAGTGAAGGGAAGCTGTTATGAGAAGGGAACTTTAGGGATTAGCCAATAAACATATCTGGACTTCTGTGATTACTGCTGCTACTTCATATTTGCTAACTAGAAGCTTCCAAACAGTCTGTGAAGACATTGTGGTGGTAGATTGCTAGCTTGAAGCCTGAGCTACTTTAATATAGTGACTTGGGAAGATGACCACTTTTCTAGGAACTCAGATCATAAGCTGCTTACACCTACTGGGTTTTCTAATGTTACCTGTATTCTGTGTAGTGTCTGTTTTCCCCAACTTCTCAAAATAAAAAGAAGAAAAGAAAGAAGGAAGGGAAACAGGGAGGAAGGAGGGAGGGAGGGAAAAGAAAAGGAATGAACAAACAGTTTTCAATATTGTGTTTTCCTCTAACATCTCCCAATAGTGTTTTTTTTTTTCCTTAAACCAACACAATAGAGCATAGACAGCATTTTATTAGTTCCTACATCCTCTTCTGAACTATGAAAGCCGCTCTGGTTTTATTTTGCCTTTCCTTCCTTTCAAAGGGACACATTTACTAGCTTTTATGACTTGCTCATTAAATTTGTACAAAGTGCACAATAACTCTAATGAAAAGTGCTAACATAATTAGGAATGGATGGAGGGTGTGTCAGTTGGAACTGACTTATTCCCAAGGTATGTTAATGTTTATTCCCAGACATTCCTGTGGCCTAGAAAAGCAAGAACTTCTGGATATTAGAAAGTTTTTTTAGTAGAATCAACTTGTAATAGAAAGAGAGAAATATTTCTGATTCTAAAGGAGTTCAATGTTGGCATTATAAAGAATGCTAAGTGTCGGAATGGCATAGGTTCTTATAGTAGATTTAATAGGTATCCACTCATAAAGGATAGCTTATTTTACTTTGGTGAATCAAATGGCTCAAGTATTGCACAAAGCCACTTCATGTGATGCAAGCCACACTTTGGATTCTGCATGGGAGAGACAATCGTAAAGCAAACTAACTAAGCGCTGTGAAGCAGCGTGCATGCTTGGACATAAAGCAGGTTAATATTCAGGTAGTTAAGGGGAACTCTTTTCAATGACTAGTGTGAATGTCACTTCCCTTGGTTGAAACAAGTAAAATGTCAGACTAAAAAGAAAAAGAATTGGCATCAACAAGCTGGTAAGACTTTTTTCTTCCATTAAGCTAAGTATGATTCAGATACTTTTCTCTTTCTTGGACTAGAAAGTAAAATATACTTGAGATGTGTGAAAATTAGTGACATGAAATTCTCCTGTAGAATAATACTCAAAGTTAATATTCTTAGAAGAATGAATAAAGCTCCATTCGGCTTTTTAACTCAGCATAAATAAGACTTATAGAGTCGTATTAAATTTTAAGTTTAAGTTGGATTTGCTTCTGTATTTGCAGGGTATTTGGAACTTAACTCTGCATAAGGAAACTGGGGTTATGAGTTCGAATTTTGCTTCAAGCTTGCTCAGAATTTAGGGGGGAAGTTTTCAACCTTTCTAAAAAGCAAATTTTCTATGCAAGTATTGATCAAGGAATATTTAAAATTTCACACAGATATAATACTTCAGGTTAGTAGCTTCAGAAAATGTTAGTAATTCCCGAGATGTCATTTTAGGCATACATTCATAATCACAGCTGAAAAAAAATAAACTCTATGGGTTTATTTAGGGTACAGGTATAGACAAATGTCTGCCTTAAGACATTTTTATCAATATATATGGAGAAACTTCTAAGGGCATATATTTAGCCAAGTAATTAATACATCAATTGAGACACTTGTGTCCCACATCAGGATACCTGGGTTCACTGCTCAGTTCTGGCTCTTGATTCTAGCTTCCAGCTAATTCAGACCCTAGGAAGAAACAGTGATGGCTCAAGTGATGGCTTCCGCTACCTAGGTGGGACATGGGGATTGAATTCTCCTCTTCTGGCTTCAGTCTGTCCCAGTTCCACCTGTTGATGATATTTGGGGAGTAAATCAGTGGATGTGAAATCTCTCTCTCTCTCTCTGTGTCTCTCTCTCTCTCTCCTTCTTTGCAATTCCACCTTTCAAATGAATAAATAAATAATTAAAAAAATAAAATCTCACTATAAGTATTGTGTTTATTGCTCCCTAAATAAGCCTAGTCTGTGGAAGTCACTCTCTCTCTCTTTCACTTTTAATTTTTGATTTATTCCCTTTTATTTTTAAATGATAACAAGAGAGAGAAAAAGCAAGAATGGGAAAGAGAGAGAGATTTCTTCAATCGGTTCACTCCCCAAATATCTGCAATAGCCAAGGTTGACCAGACTTCAATCAGGACCTGGAATTCAGTTTGGGTCTCTCATGTGTATGGCAAGGATCTAAGTATTTGAGCCATCATCTGTTGCCTTCCAGGTGTACATTAGCAGGAAGTTGGATCTGAAGCGGAGTCTAGACTTTAATCCAGAGTGGCTGATATGGGATATGTGCATCTCAAGCAAGCACCTAACTGCTACACCAGACTCTCGAACCCCTTAGAAAGCTCATTGGCAAGAACAACAAAGATGGAGGATGACGTTATGTTCTTTAATTCCAAGTTCAAAATAGGAGTAAATTTTTAACTAACAAGATGTTGAGACTACTGAAAATAGTACATGGAGAAATCCGTGATAATGTGTTTGTGAATAAAAAGACAAACTATTTTGAGTAGTAACTTCAGATGCTCCTGATAAATTAATGTACAAAAAGAGTTTATTTAATTCCATTTAGTTCAATAAAAATTAAGTATACACCTGGGTGTGAAAAGGGAGGATAGCCAAAAGGTAACCTATAACCCTGAAGGTCAAACCACAGTGAATTCCAGGGGATGGAGACAGTGTGGCTTCCTCCTGAGTATACCAGAGTGATTAATGTACAATTAAGTATATGATGTTGTGATAAGGTAAACTGAAGCACTGACCTACAGAGGCTTTCTATCATAAAAGATGAGCAATGAGGAGGGATCATCAGGACAGGGGACACACCCAGGTCCTGGAGTATAAAATCTCCAGAGTCCACACCATGAGACTCAAATTCAGAGCATCTTCCCACTGGCACTCAGCTAAACTCACAGCTCCTCTCATCATGTCCTACAACCTCTGTTCTGGAAACTTTTCCTCCCGTTCGCTCGGGGTTTACCCACGCTACTCAGGATCCTCCTGTGGCTCTTCTTACCCCAGCAACCTGGTCTACGTCACGAAGCCCCAGTCTTCCAGCACCTGCCAGCTGGGCTTGCCTCTCTCCACTGGCTGCCAGGAAACCAGCTGTGAGACCACCAGCTGTGAGCCCACCAGCTGCCAGCCCACCAGCTTCCAGACACCCTGTGTGGTGCCCAGGCCCTGCCAGACTTCCTGCTACCGACCAAGGACCTCCTCACTTTGCCAGACGACTTATACTGGATCTCTGGGCTATGGGTCCAGCAGCTGCCGCTCGCTAGGCTATGGATCTAGAAGTTCCTATTCTTCGGGCTGTGGATCAAGGCAATTCTACTCCTCAGGTTGTGGATCCAGTGGCTTCAGACCCCTGAGTTATGGAGTTCGTGGCTGCTCTTCCCTGAACTCCGGATCCAGAATCTTCTGTCCAACTTACCTGGCTTCCGGGAACTGCCAGTCTCCTTGTTACAGACCAACCTATGCATCATCCTTCTGCAGATCAGCTTACTGAAGTCCCAGGCCTTTTACGCAAAATGTAACCAACTGGCCTAGAAGGCAATGTCAGTAAAGCCCTATCACTATCAGTTCTTCATTTTTCCTTTGGTGTTAAGCACTGACTGACAGCTCAGCTCTTTCAGTCCATGATACTAATGAAAGACCATATCTAGAATCAAATATCTGTACTCAGAAACAAATGATTCATTCGCTATTGATTTTTTTCTTGCAAAATGTATGGAAGTTCAGTTGTGTTTGACCTAATAAACTCATTCACTCATGCAGCCAATATGTTCTCATTGTTCTTTATTCATTTTCAAAGTTTGGTTTGTGATCTTTCTTGGGAGATCCTGATTCTGGGTACTCTTTCTAGGAAATCTATTTCCCTAGGACATGGCATCAGGTCTGGCACATTGAGAGATTGCCTGGATGCTACATTGCCCAAGAACTATATAGAGCGAAACTTCTGCATTCAACTACTAGAAATTTTGACAGCATTATTAAAAGTATGCTCATAATTTTGGCAGCATCATTACAAGTATGTGCATAATGTTTTCAGTGAAAACATCTGATGATGAGGATCATATTTAGTTTTGAGTTTATGTTTTTGAAACAATATTGAAGTAGAATACTTCCAGAAAACATCAAATAGATGATGAAATGTTCTGAAAATATTTTGTATAAAGCATTTGAATAAATCTTCCATATTAGCATGAAAAGGGGAAAATAAGATATGTCAGATAGCAGAGTGAATTACGGTTGTCTTCCTATATATGGAAAAATTGGTTATTCACTGTGTGTGTTAGAGGGGATACGTATGTGTATGGGGGGAGACAGAAGATAATGAGACACAGAGAGTTTGAGAGACTTAAATGTATTTGGCTTGTTATAAAATATATATATATATATAGTTATTCCTTCATATCTGTAGGGCATTTGTTCTAGAGCCCCTACAGTTATCAAAATCCATGAATGTTCAATTATCTTACTTGAAATGGCATGGTGTTTGCATATAACCTATGCACATTGCATATAATTTAATTCTATTTTCTTTTTTAATGTAAAGAAGTTTATATCTTTTTATTCTCCAAAATTATTCAAAAGAGATGCTTATTTGAAGCAAAATTTATCACACTATGTGACATTCATATGTTGATTCAATATGTAAATATAGGTATAAAAGCAGTATCATGTATATTGGTCATAAATAGAACTATTTGTTTAGAAAGTCGCTATATCCTATATAAAGCAGTACAATATAATTCCAGGTATATTGCAGTAAATGGTTGACATTATAATTTCTTATTGCAATTAGTAACAAAGTGTATAATTATGATGTGTCAATCAAACACAATTAATGCAAAAATGTAGTGTATTTATTTGTTAGGGATGTCTTTTTTTTTTTTTTTTTTTGGACAGGCAGAGTGGACAGTGAGAGAGAGAGAGAGAGAGAGAGAGAGAGAGAAAGGTTTTCCTTTTGCCATTGGTTCACCCTCCAATGGCCGCCGAGGCTGGTGCACTGCGGCTGGCGCATCGCGCTGATCCAAAGCCAGGAGCCAGGTGCTTTTCCTGGTCTCCCATGCGGGTGCAGGGCCCAAGGACTTGGGCCATCCTCCACTGCACTCCTGGGCCATAGCAGAAAGCTATGGAAGTTGCCCTGGAAGAAGGGCAACCGGGGCAGAATCCGGTGCCCCGACCGGGACTAGAACCTGGTGTGCCGGCGCCACAAGGTGGAGGATTAGCCTATTGAGCCATGGCGCTGGCCATGGGATGTCTTAAGAGAGCATATAGAGTGGGCAACTTACATAATAGAAATTCATTGTCTCATAATTCTGTATAATGAAAATTCAGAAAAAACTATTTTATTTACAGGTTTGGTTTCTTTTGAGGTCTTCCATTTTAGTTTGAAGATGGCCAACTTCTTACCAACTCCTCAACACAGTCTCTTCTGTGTGTGTGTCTCTATGGAGATGCATTCTTTTGTCTTGGAAACACATAGAGGTCTCTAGAATTATACCTTCAGGGAAATAGAATCCCCTGAGAGCCCCTGGAGCAGCATCATTAGAACATCAGGGCCTGGAATTTCATTTCCCAGCTTCTGAGGAGTCTGGGAATTCCTTTCAGGGCTCCTCTGTGAGGCCAGTTCACTAAGTGGCAGAGACTGAGCCACCTAGGACCTCTCTCAGGAGTAGAGGCCTTAAATCATTTTGTGATTACTTACAATACTTAATGCAATGCAAGTTTTATGCAAATAGTTATTATGCTGTATAATTTAGGAAATGGTGACAACACTGAACTCTATGCATGTTTAGTAGAGACTTCATTGTTTTCTCAAATATTTTCTTGGTTGAATTCAAGGAGATGGACTACACAGAGACAGAGGACTGACTGTATTTATGAACTATGATCTTGGTGATTTTATTTCAGTTTATTGAGTTCCTCAATAAGTAAAAGATGAATAAAATTTTTGTAGTGACTTCTGCATTAAATCATTAGGATTGTATTACTTTCCATGTACTGGATCTTAAAATCTACATAGGCATCCATGAGTTCCACTACTCAATTTGCAAGCTGAGAATAAAAACAGATTTTGTAGCATGTTACTCATATCTCAGATAGGACAGCCTTTGAGGTCATTATAATTTGAGTTCAAAATATTTGACAGGCTAATGTAAAATTCAGTTAAAATTCTCCATAACATACTTAGTAATAACTGTATGACTGGGAGAATAACTTCCTTGACATTTTTCCTTAGTATTTTTCTAATTGGAACTGAGACACAACGTGTCTTCTTTGCTACACTCAAACCAGTAATGAGAGAAGCATGGAGGTGTGAGACTGACATCCTCAGTGCACAGGAATTTGCTCAAGAGACAGCAGAGAGAATAGGGGAGAGGCATGCAGAGAGAGTCTACTGGTGATGTGGGAGTCATAGTACCCATCATCGTTTGAGTCAGTCTTATTCATACTTCATGTGATTTGATTTTTATGGGCCAATAAAGTATTCTTTTGGTTTAAACTAATTAAAAAATTAAAATAAAATAAGTTTTGTGTCACTCGCATCCAATTGTAATTAGCAGAAATGTGACATCAGGTGCAGAGTTACTCACTGACTGGTGTATATAGGCAGTTAAAATTTTTATTAGTAAGACAAAAAGATCCTGTGAATCTATTATTGTCAGTAGTGTTGAGGGTGAACTATAATATTTTTTCTTTAAATAATGTAGAATTAGTAAAATGTGGACTAAGTAACCAATTGGGACAACAAATTCAAAGGGTTCACAGCAGAATGTCCAGTGAGAATGTCCAGGGTGCTAGAAGCATCTAACTGTAAGCAAGGAACACACCAGGTCCTACAAGGCTTATTTAACACAGAGATGCGTTTTAAATTGAAAACAATCTCAAGATAGAGGGAAGAAGTAGCCAGTGATAAAGCAGATCTAGTTCTGGAATGACTTGGAGAATTTTCTCCATGCTGATGGATTCTTTAAAGTAGAAACTCAAAAACTGAAACAAGGAGGCAAAGAGGAGGAGAGGGAATTCATACATTAGAATACCTCAGTATCTAGATTTTTGAAAGTATGAGTTGAGGATTCAGATATTAAGAAAAATAAATACTGTTTGCACTTCCAGTTCTCTACATGATAATCTTTCCTTATATATCATCTCTGGTAATTATTTTTCTTCACTCTGTCCTCCCCTTCCATCTCCTCTTTTCCTCTTCTTGTTAGGTTATATCCACAGTTCTCTGGTGAATTAGATTTTGATCTATGCTCATCTTTGATTGTCATCTTCCTGAAGTGTATAATGGGGTAGTGCTGCTTATTCTGCAGGGTGCCAGGTCCTTATAGCATCTGTCATAGTGGATGATGGGTATTAGTAGAAGCATGTGGTGTGGGCTGCTAATGTCTCCATCACAGTTTAAAGCCTTCTATGAGTCCAGGGAGGGAGCCTCAGAAGGCAAGATATTTGTCTCAGAAAAGATAGTTCTTAAAAAACCATGCAATATAAAATGCAACACTCTGAAGTGATATTTTTTCAGCAAGTAAAATCATGATTCTCGTGCAAATGAGAATTAAGCACGTGTGTTTATCTCACTCATTATTCAATAAGGAGAACACTAATGAGGGGACAACCAGTTCAAAGAGTACTTCAAAGAATACAGTTATACAGATGGTTAGGAATGCTGAAATGAATTCACAAAGACAAATGCAAAATAATCACTGTACACAGAGGAAAACACTGAGCAGAAATCATTCTTATTTCTATGGAAAAGAAACATTTGTATTATTATCTATATCTATAAATAACAGAATTATACAACAGTTTCAAAGCTATGAAATATGTTGATACACTGAAAAGTGAACAAAATAGGTGGCATATCATTTTCTCCCCCAATTTGAAAGTCGTCTTTTTTTTTTCCGATGACAATATGTGACTCAGTGATGGTAAGTATAAAAGCTACATGCATTTTTGTTGCAACAACATGAACATTATTCTTTCTTTTAATGTGGAAATAAAGAGGTAAAAGAAATTATCCATATTGTATCACAGAAAGATCTACTTTATATTATGAATTTAAATTTTCCCTTTCCTGGCTTTGTTGAAGTATAAGCTTATTATAAATTTTTTTTAAAAATTATTTATTTGAAAGGCAGAGTTAGAGAGAAGAGAGAGAGAGAGAGAGGAGAGAGAGAAAGAGAGAGAGGTCTTCCATCCACTGGTTCACTCCAGAACTGGGATTGATCCAAAGCCAGGATCCTGCAGCTTGTTCCAGTTCTCCCACAAGGGTGCAGGGTCCCAAGGATTTGGATCATCTTCTGCTGCTTTCCCAGGCCACAAGCAGAGATCTGGTTCAGAAGTGGAGCAGCTGGGACTTGAACTGAAGCCCATATGGGATGCCGGGGCTGCAGGCAGAAGCTTTACCAGCTATGCCACAGTTCCAGCCCTATTACAAATGATTTTAAATTTACATACATTTAAGGATTACGACTTATGTTTATTTATTTATTTCTATATTTATTCATAGGTATTTATGTTTATATTTATACACCTTGTCATTACTAAAGTTAAAATAATTGACATATCACCTCACGGTTTCCATTTTATTCATTTATTCATTCATTCATTCATTTGTGGTAAAATTAAGATCTACTCTGTTGGCAAATATACAATGCAGTATTTTTTTTTTTGACAGGCAGAGTTAGACACAGAGAGGGAGAGACAGAGAGAAGGGTCTTCCTTCCATTGGTTCACTCCCCAAATGGCTGCTATGACCAGTGTGCTGCA